TTTGAGAGCAATTCCCGCAATTGTGCCCCGGTCTAAATGTGTCACCCCTTCTATTGGGCGAGCTCTCATTTCCGTCTTCTTTTTTGTCGGCCAAATGATGGGGGGAATGGTTGGTGAATCGGTTTTATCCGCTCGCGTTTCTCAGAGCAGGGGCACGCGCAAATTCTTCTCTCATGCTGGCTCTGTTGCTCTCAAAGGAACGCGCATTTCCGGTGTGGTATGGCTCCGCATTTGACCTATCGCACCGGTGGTTTATGGCTGTAGTTACGCATCGATTTTTGTAGATATTTAAAACCCGCAATGGACTTGATTTTAGTTATTTGAATTAGCCAAAATCTGAGGAAAATTAGCTATTACGGCTTTATTCTGCGCGATTAAAAACAATTTTAATTTTTTTTGAGCAAGTATTTGATGCAATATTATTTTTATCACTACGTTGCTTTTTAATATGCATCTATTCAAATTTAGATAAATTAAAAATTTAGAGAGAATCAGTTTTAAGTCAGGCTTTTATTTGAATAATCACAACCCTATCTTTCAACCCCGATCCAAAACAAACCCCTACTTTTGACGTCGACAAATCCAAAACTTTTAGTTTGCGCTCTATGCGTTTTTTTTGCGTTTTTCCCGTTCGGCGAGCCCAGACAAAACACATGGCGCTCAAAAATTGAGCCTCCCCCACCCCGAGCAGGTCACTGGGAGCACATTTACACACAAGCAAGCCTGGCTTTTCGTAGTCGGCGGGGGACTACGCGACGCAACAGACGCACAGTGGGGCGTTGGCCTAAAATTTTTACTCCATTTCCTTGCTATTGGACTTTTACCTCTGGCTAGACGACTCTAAAATACATGATCTGAGATATGGTGTGACTCGCCATCGCAACACTCGCTTTTTTAGATAAGACGCGCCATTTTGAGACGTTTTCTTTGAAATTTGGGATTTTCCTTCTAGTTTTTAGCAATTTTCGGTACTTTGTCATCATCGAGGGGTACGGGTTACTCGCTATATTATTCTGCCAAGCATCTATTGTACTAAAATATATATAGTGGTTTGCTCTACTGAAAAGTATTCAAACTATTAAAAAACAAACCTTTACCCTTTGTCATGTATTTTTCGACAATTTTAATAGTTTTAAACGTTTAATCCTTCAGGTAAAGCAATCGTTTAATAAATTTTGTTTCATATTTTTTATAGACTACGGGTGCATGTCAAGACACCAGTCTTGGCTAAAATCCCCCCTGCTAACGCACAAGCTCCTAAAGCATAATTAATATCATTGATTTCATCTCTCCATCCCATTCCACATCGACCAAATCGAAAATGTGAGGGCGGCCGTGTTGGCACAACTGATTTTCACAGGGGTCCCATCGCGAATGGAGGGGGGTGAGGAGGCTTTTGTCCCGGACAGCTTTCCCTGTTTCCGGGATGCGATCGTTCAGGTGTTGGCCGTCCGTGTTCACATGGTCTATAGCTTTTCTGAATCGTTGATGATACGGTATTGCCGATCGAGCGAGCGTGGGAATGTACCGATTTATGGAGATGCGCATGGGAAAAGTGGCCGGGACGGGGGTTGGGGCATTCAAATGATGCGGGATTGGGAAAGAGTGTAGTCTGGGGTTTGAAAGTCGCTGTACAATGATGTTTATATGAAAACCAGCGCTGACCCCCCGCTACGCGGGGTTTCAGCGCAGGCCCTCCCCCTCAAAAAATTTTTGAATTTGGAATTTGAATGCAAAATTTGGCTGAATTCCCGGTCGGTCGGTCGGCGGGCGTACGGGCATTAGAAATTTATATATAGTAGATAATATGTATATGTGAATTTGGGAGTAAACAGTCTGGAACATATGTTTGTACATTTGACACGTCATTAGTTGCGTTATGGCCACGATCTAACTACAGTGCGGGTCAAAATGATAGGTCCACCTAGTTATTCGCAATTTTCTCGACGGAGAAGAATTTTCACGCTAATCCAAACAGCAAGGCTTGTGGCCCATGGAAAGACGAGTTTTTCATGTACTCGAGATATCTCTACAATAACGGATCACCGATTTATAAAGGAAAGAATGAAATAGTGCGAAAAACCGATGTGTCAAAATGATAGGTCCGCACTTTACATGCGATTACAATCAACAATGGGTATGAATATTAGATGCTAATCGGGATGCCGTGTAGAAAAATATGCATAGTTGCAAACTCATTTCGAAAAATCCACCCGGAAAATGATTACCATAATTGGGATATAATTAGCATCTAATATTCATACCCATTGTTGATTGTAATCGCATGTAAAGTGCGGACCTATCATTTTGACACATCGGTTTTTCGCACTATTTCATTCTTTCCTTTATAAATCGGTGATCCGTTATTGTAGAGATATCCCGAGTACATGAAAAAATTCGTCTTTCCAAGGGCCACAAGCCCTGCTGTTTGGATTAGCGTGAAAATTCTTCTCCGTCGAGAAAATTGCGAATAACTAGGTGGACCTATCATTTTGACCCGCACTGTAGACATAAATGAGGTTAATCACCCCGAAAAATCACAGCATTGTTTTTCCGGAAAATTCTATTTTTCATTCGGATTTCCTATGAAAATCATGCAAATTATTTCGGGGTATTGACTTTTCGGGGTAGTGACTTTACCCCGTATGTTTGTACATTTGACATGTCATTAGTTGCATTATGGCCTCGATCTAACTACACATAAATCAGGTTAATCAGCGATGTTGGATAATATATTCCGGTTTTTTAAAACATTCCGGCTTTTCCATCTCTATTCAGTTTTTACTAAATCAATAAAATTACCTTACAATTGCATTGTTACCCCTTCAATAAAATTTATCAAGCACTACGGACAATTTATAAATAACTGGTCGGCGATTCTAAAGAGAAGACCTTTCTAGTTAGAAAGATCTAAGCTTCTCGCTGTAAATTGTTATCGATAAACTACGGTACATCCATTTTGATAGAACCCTAGTAGAAAAATGCATTTATGTATCAAATCCATTGACAGTCCGCAGCGACACCACACTTTTCCTCCTTGATTTTAGCGGCTTTACAACCTAATTTCACAAGTCCCTTACGATCAGGGCCGTAACAAACCCGAAATTTCGGGGGGGGCAAAATTTTTTCACTAACATGACTAAAATTCCAGCGCCACTGGCAAAAATTATTAAAAACATGGGGGCTTAGAACACTAAAACTAGTGTTAAAAATAGCTTAAAAAATCATAAGGGTCCCCCCTTATGAACTTTTCGGCGGTCGGGTGGGGGGCGTGGGGCCTACTTGCGATACAATGTCAGAAATGCGTTTCCGGTTGTCAAATCCTTTATTTTTATTAGTAGAGTAGTCCCGTTTTATATATAGCAAGCCTTTTCGCCAAAAACACACGATACATTCACGAGTTTCAGATTGTTTTCTTACAAATGGCCCGCTACACACCATACTCTCCCCTTCCCCCTTGACCTAGTGACGCGCGCACCATTTTCAACCAATCACCCCCCGTGAGCTCAAAAACCAATGGCGCACCCGGTGACGAGACCGATAGAACGGACAGCAACTATCCACACCTCACCCCCAATATCTCTCACTCTCTCGCCCACCTCTCTCTAACCCCCGCTCACTCTCTCAAAAAGGCAATGCACCCAGCGAGCTCGTTGTGGCGGGGACGGACGAACCCCAGGGAAACGGACAGACAGACAGACAAACAGACAGACAGACAGAGGAAAAGGGGGAGGGGCTGGTGGTGGAGAGGGCTGTTGCCCATATATAGAGCTCCTCTCACATGGCTCACCCACACATACACACATACACACACATCCACCTCGACGCTCGTCATTTTCAAACCCCGGGTCATTCGCCCACACATAGATGAAGCTAGAGTATTTTTGGGGTTTAGCCTTTAAGATTGTGCCTGATATATTAGATCCTAGTTAACTCTGCTCCCCAATTTTTGAGACTACGGTAACTTTGTTGTCAGTAGTATTGCTCGTAGCTAATTTACTTATCGAATTGAGTAGGTATTTGGAGCTACACTTTTATCTGCTGACATCAGGGCTTGAAGTCCTATATATAAGCTCGTTACCTAACTTTTTGATACTACCGTAACTCAGATGTTGATAGGAATCTGATGTAGCTGATCTTTTCATTGAATTTAGACGGAAAATATAAATAGAATATTTTGATTATGTTTCATTTTGAGGTTTTCATCTCTATTTCTAATACTACCTCCTCTCTAGTCCGCAATTCCGTCTCTCTTCGTACTTCCCCTAATTAGCGCGCGGCCCGGCCGCCTCGGAGCTTTTCTTCTTTTTTTCCTCATTCTCGGGCCCAGGGGACGCAACGAGGTGGATTAGCCCGATTTCCCGTCACGCTTATTGCCGGGCATCACATGGCCAAACCGGCTCTCATTTTGGATAAATATTTGGTGGTTATTGGTGTGCTAACGTTTATTATAATAAAAATTATTGTTTTTTAGCGTTAGATCACATAAAAACGAAAATCCTGACGAAACCCAAAATTATACCCTACTGTTCCGGAACTATTTCAATTCCAAATCGATTTTCCCAAGTGCCCTGTACTCTGATTTCATTGACCCGCGCACTATCCTTGCACTTTGTTGACACTTACGAAACCCAAAACCCACATGACTCATCGAGACACGAGATGTATTTCGTTGGGCCCCAGTTTTTCTCTTTCTCCTTCTTTCCCTCCCCATCCCAATCTATTCTCTAAATTTGATTTATCAGGCGCTCCCCCTTCCCCACCTACGCTTCGTGACGTAGTGAGAACAAAATAGAATTGGCTTGGCACTAGATAAGCCGGGGGATAGAGCTTTTCCTCTTTTTTCCTCTCTGTCTCTGGTCCCGGAAATGGATCCCAGCACTTGACGTTTCCTGTGGGGCGCTCTTTAGACCCGGGGAGGGCTATATTATGTGTTTTCCTTCTTTTTTCCTTCATTCGAAAGCCAACCGGGGGGTTGGCGATTCCATTTTCCCTGCAAAATGTTGTCATTCCGGTTTTGGGAGGGTATAAAATCACTTTAAAATCGCCGAAGATCACTTTTTCCTTCCATTCTTCTTATCTTGGCTTACTGTACCTTGGGCATTTTTTAAAAACCCGTAAATTTTTCAGCGGGCGCGACAACGAGGACTCCTGTCAGCTCGTTGGCGCGTTTGACTTGAGGTCACCAGGAGAATCAGCTCGAAAATCTCTCGTTTGACGCTTTATCGGGGTCCCGGAGCGGCCAGCCGCTACCCTAAGGTACTGTAGTTTTAAGGGACCACTGAAGACATCCATTATAGACAGCCGCCTCCCGCATCGAGGTCGGCCAAGTGATCCACATCCCGGGTGGAGAAGGAAAGTGCGAGGCACCTCCTTGGAGCAACAACTACAGCCGTTCTGAGTAAAGGTATGGAATTTTTATGTTAATTTTAAACTTAAGTTACTTTAGTACCTACCAAACACCAAACTACAACGATGATCTACGGATCGTCCAACCGCGAGCTGATCGGAGATACTAAGGTTTGAGAGGTTTTTAGTTTTAAAAATGAATTTTAGTGTAACACATTAGCTTAAAAATTTTTATAATGTTCAAATTACCGTAATCTTAACAATTTAGGTCGAAATCCATGACCAACCGATCGTACCTGAAGATCTGATCGAGAAACTCGCCGCCAACAGCGATGAAGAGGTAGGATTTTAACGATGCTTTACCTTTCACTTCCTGATACCCTAAAATACGCTCCAAAACCTGTACACCAATTTTTACACCACAGGCCTACGGTATCATATTGGAAGCGGACGGAGCCGGAAAACTGCAGACGTCATTTATGCCTTCTAGACCCTCGATGACGCCTTCATCCTCGCCAACCTCGACGCGCTCATTGACCGGTTCAAGCTGTGGAAGCGAGAGCTGCCGCATGTTGAGGTATCTAAACTAGAAGGAAATAAAAAAATATGTAAAACAAAGAAGAACATATTAACAACTGAATTGTAATCCTTTTTATAATAACATATTATATGTATATTTAGCCCTTCTATGCGGTCAAGTGCAACACCGACGTCGTGATGATGAGAGTGCTCGCCGCCCTGGGCGTCAACTTCGACTGCGCCAGCAAGCAGGAGATCGACATTGTGATGAGCCTCGGCGTAGACCCAAGCCGTATCATCTACGCCAACCCATGCAAGACCCGCGCTTTCATCAAGGTACAAAATTGTATACCCCGTCTTGAAATACCGTAATTCCAGCACGCCGAGAAACGTGGCGTCCAGATGATGACGTTCGACAACGCTGAGGAGCTCGAGAAGATCCAGGAGCACCACAACTCGGCTAGGCTTGTCCTCCGCATCGCCGTCTCCGATCCGACAGCGACTTGCCCACTCAACCTGAAGTTCGGCGCCGATCCGATGGTTGCTGCTCCGCAACTGCTCAGCCGCGCCAAAGAGCTGGGCCTGAATGTAGAGGGTATTAGGTTGGTTTGAAAGCTTTTTGCTCCTTGATCCTTGATTCTTAATCCATAGAACTTTGAGCAAAGCTTATTTTAGCTTCCACGTCGGCTCGGGGTGCAACGACTGCACGGCGTATGAAATCGCCATCGGGCACGCACGGCGGCTTTTCGACATTGGGGAGGCGATGGGGCATCAGATGGATTTCCTGGACCTGGGTGGAGGATTTCCGGGAGGAGAGCATCATATTGGGTTTGAGAAGGTGAGATTAAAGGGGCAGTAATATTGATATATCTCTTATTGATACAAAATCTTCATAACCAAATATTTTTTAGATCGCTGGTGTGATCTCCTCAGCTTTATGCCGCTACTTCCCCGACCCATCGGTGCGTGTCGTTGCTGAACCTGGACGGTAAGAGCTCAAGCTTAAAATCTCAATTTAATATATATTTAATAGGTAAAATATTAATATAATCCATATAAATCACTTTGATGTCCTTTCTCTAGATTCTTCGCTGCCAAGCCCTACACCCTATGCGCCAATGTCATCCATGCCACTGAGGTGCCGGCTGAACGCATCACCCATGAAGGTGAGCAACACCCTATTTTTACGCCTTTTAAGGCAGCATGAAGCCATGCTATAATTTCAAAATCTATACCTATTTTTAGACAAAGACATTGGCTCCAAGGGCATGATGTACTACATTAATGACGGCGTCTACGGGTCGTTCAACTGCATCCTGTTCGACCACGTCCATCCCGTTGGTCATCCACTACGCGTGAAGCCCGACCGTGAGCCGAGGGTCAGCACCATCTGGGGCCCAACCTGTGATAGCCTCGATATGATTGAGGTGAGTTACTTATCTTGACTATACTTTATAAATTCTTAAAATTACTCACGGATCGATTTAATTTAATAAACTATATCCTTATTTCAGGACAAGAAAATGATGACCCCTGTTGGAGTCGGTGACTGGCTGGTCTACCCGGAAATGGGTGCCTACACCTCGGCCGCTTCAACCACCTTCAACGGCTTCCAGCGTCCTACCATGATTTATGCCATCTCCCGCACTAACTGGTTAGTTTTGTTAAAATAAGTTCTTCTTAAAGCGGTTGTTTTATTTTATTTTTATTAATTTTAATTTGTTTTGAAGCCTTTTACCTTTATTCCATTTTTCAGGGAAACCATCGCTGACCTTCTCTAAGAAGTCGCCAACATTTCCACTTCCGGAATCATTCCTATTTTGAAGTTTTTCATTCTCCTCCCTCTTCCTGCCTACCCCCGCATATCACAATTATGTGATTCTGTTAATCTATTTATGAAATAAAGTTTTTCTTTTTCTACAATTCTTGAAATATACACAATATACACACAACTCATCCCTGTCAATAATTCAGAAGAGCGCGGGAGACCGAGCTCGGCTCCTCGTGCCAGGGTTTGTTTATGCCCAGCGAGGGGGTTTTTCTGAGCGAAACAACGAAAAAGTCAGCGGAGATGCATGGGAGGCATAAGTTTTTGCATGGATTGCGGGTTGAGTCAGAGTTTTATTGATTTTCGCGTCTTCAAAAGTTATAGAAATTGCGAAAATGGCATTTTTGGATTGAATTTTGATTTCCGTCTAAAAAATTAACTGTCCGCAACTATGCTACACACCAAAATACACCTACAGGCGCGCAATCCCGGCGAAAAGCTTCAGTCTGACACTTCCTAGTCCCTTTAAAAGTTTATTTTAGTATTTAAATGATTTGACAATCCTATTAATAAATATGCAGCTTAGTTCACAACGGTTTTCTCCTACTTTTAAAATATCAGCTAAGTTTTTGGCGTTTTTTCACATTTTTACATCTACCCATAAGCGTAGCCTTTATTTCAGCTTGATTTTCCCTTTAAAACGCGTTCTAACACATTCTACTACTCATGTAACTGCCGTTTTGGGCTTTTTTGGCTGTAAGGCATTACACTAAAAGTATACCACCCTTTAAAGCACTTTCCCATTACTGGAATCCACTACTAAACTTATCCCCTACACCTTTCCATCTCCAAGGTGCCATTTTGCTCCATTAGCACCTAGGGGACCCGCGAAGGCGACGGCTGGTGTGAAGAGTCCGTTCACAATAGCCCCAGCGCGGAATCTGAGCCCAACAATACCGCCAAAGAGGTAAGAGAACGGCAGATCATATTTCTCAACGACCACCACCATTCACACCATCTAGCACCCCCTCATCTCACACATATCCCCCACTTGCTATTTCATCATCTGGTTAGCCTCAGAAAAATTTGCATAAATCTAATATCTTCTTTTACAAGATTCTGTCCGGTTTACATGCTCTTCCAACTAATCAAAAGCTAATGTCTAATTTCTGGGTCTTTACACCTTTAGAATCAAATTCCGATGAAGTTGTTTTAATTAACACCACTCAGAATCGATCAATATAATTTTCCATTTTATAATTTAACGTGCAAATGTATGTTTAATTATGTTAATTAATTAATGTGAAATCTGAATTAGGGGATATCAGGTACCTTATTTTCTAACTTTCTCAGTTTTTTATCTTCTTAAAACTACTGTGAACTGATACCTGACTTTTTGATGTTGTTTTTAAAGAGTGGGGTAAGGTTAGAGGCTACAAAAGCTTTTTTTGTTTTAATGGAGCTTGAAAACCGATTTTCTGTTCAGAAATGGTTTTGTTATTACCGATCTAGGTAATTTAAGGGTCCAACGTATTATTTTGTTGCACATCTGGTAAGTTTGTTGAAATTCGAAAATTATGTAAGCCCTCTAAATTCTAAAAACCTTATATAAAATCCTCGCAACACCCCGTCCATCCGATCATCCGGCAGAAATCCATCGGCTATGCAAATGCGGGCAATGCGGGGTGGAAAGCCGTCAAAAATGTTGGAAAAGGGGCCCGCGAATGTCCCGAGGGACCGCTGCGGGACCCATACGGACAACGGCCCACCCGAGAGCTTCGCGCAAAATCCAATGTTTTCCGCTCTTCGCTTTCGATATTCTGCAATATTCTATACGGGCCCGAAAGTGGCTCTAAATTTACAATTTCATAGGAAAATAGCTGATTCTGACTAGAAAAACCTTGTCATTAATGCCTAAAAATGGTTTTGGTGCGTAGCTACAAAATACGAGCTTTACGCTGAGCGTTTTATCGTTTTTTAAAAATCTCTAGAAGCGGAAGAATACTTTTTAGACTGGACAGTAGTTTACCGAATCCTGAAATTAATCTTAATTAATGACATTTTAGCTAACAATGCTGAATTCACGATGCCATGAATGCAGCAATGGGGTTTGATGGATAAATATAAACCACAAATTCTAACTTTGAGTTTTAATATTTTTTGAGCTTCCTGGAAGGTCACTGAAGCTTGGCATCCTGCAAAAATGCAGGAGCTAGAGAGCAATTCTCGTTTTTTCGGGTCCATCAGAAAGGGATGTTCAATCCTCTCTCTCTCTCTCTCTTTCTCTCTCTCTCTCTCTCCCTAGATTTTATTCGAAAACCTCCATGCGTTTAGGGATGCATGAAGAGAAAGGGCCACTCGAATCTTGCCTTCCGTTCGTGCCGAGACCCATTCTATCGTTGACATGTTGAGCCTCATTTTTCGGCCTGTCCTCCCCCCAGTTAAAGAGAAAAGAACGGCAAGAGAGGAGGAGGTCTCCATTCAGCCATTAGGGCCAAGCTAGTCTGTTGTTCCCCCAATTATGGGGAGGTAGCCGGGAGGCCCTCATTTGACTGGCTGTTCCCTTTAGAATTGAGGCAGCGGCACGGGTCACAAAGCTTCCGCTTCGCTGATTTATTTCGTTTCTAGTAAGAGCTCGTAATCTAAGCTTTTTGTTGTTTAAAGGGCCAGTGAAGAAAGATTTGTGTTGTTTTTCAATGTGTTATCTTTTTAATCGGGCCAATGAATCCAAATTTTTACGGTTTTTTAGAGTTTCTCCACTTTCAAAGACCCATTGAAGCCAAATCTCTTGCTTGATCTGCTTGCAAGGGTTATTGAAGTCAAATCCATAAAGCTAGTCCGCTTTTCTTGCCTTTTATTTGCACTTTCCGGCGATTGTCCGACTAATTGTATATTTTTATGTTCTATTCTCAAGCCAGAGTTCCATTTTTTAATTCCTTAAAATCAATGCTTTCAGTAAATGACTCGATAGATGCCAAATGGGATGCTCATGCGCATTTTCTGCCTACTTTCCGCCTATTTTGGAGTGGCATACGGTAACCTCTAAATACTCCTCGTCTTATCCCAATTTTTAGCAACTGGTTGCTACAGATGCGTCTCAAAAGAGGATAGCCTAGACCCAATTACAAGGATTCAAATCCGAAACCAGATCGACACTTTCTTCGTACCGGTTGAAGCCAGGTAAGCAAAGCGTAGTTTAACTTCAAACTACAACGCTCCACAGATCTCCCGGCTGCTCTCAAACCATTGATGAAGATACGCCAAATGTTGAGCTGCAGCTCTGTTCAGTCTTTCCATATTGTGTCACATTGATGCCAAATGTGCCTAGTAAGTATTAATATATAAAGTATATATCCTAAAATTTACTTCAGATTCCACCTATGTCGTTCGGGGATGCTTTGAACTAACCCTCCGCTCAAACCTTCGTGAAAATCAGGCACTCCGCGAGGCACCAGGGTAATTACGATTTACTTTCAGATTCTCAAAAAATCAGACACATTACCGTAATCAGCGTGGGCACACGCTTTAGGGCTGACAGGAAATTGGGTATCCCTCGAGGGGATCGACATTTTTTGGTGTTTGCCGAAGCTTGGATAATTCGGCCAATTGAGGCGGCTGGGGAAGGTTGAATAATAATGTTGGGTGGTGGTTCTTAGAGCCGGGGCGGATGGGTTTTCCCAAAGGGGATTAGCCGGGGGGAAAATGGGGAGAAGAGGAAGGGTTCAATCCGCCTCTTCGTGGAGGCAATACCAAGAACTCGGAAGTTGTAGTTGGAATGGGATAAAGTGACGAAGAGTTTTTAGAATCGGGGTTCTTTAGTCTTTGTAATCTAAGCAAATTGTTTCCGTTTTTTAAACGATGATGAAGGGTGATAACGAGAGCTAGAGAGACAGAGAGAGAGAGAGCGAGAGAGTGAGAGAGAGAAAAGTGAAAGAGAGAGACAGCAAATGAGAGAAAAGTTGGGTTTACTAGCCAGTTAAGCACGTAACGCTTTGTTTTTGGATCAGTTCGACCCATTAACGTCATTTTCTATACGAAACTACTACTAAAATGATAAAAAGTAACGTTAGAAACAGTAGATTATTTCTTCCCTATTAAATTAATAAGAGATACCGTACGCCCCAAATTTCACGAAATTCCAGCTGCTTCCTGATTAAATCTCGCCCCGGCGTCCCAGCCAATTCGACCCTCGACTACATCGTCTGCATCTGTGAGGGCGACTACTGTAACTACGAGCCGATACCCCATTTCGAAGACATTTCATATATGGATCCGAGAAAGGTGAGCGTTTACTGGAAGAAGCCGACAAGTGAAACCCAGCAAAGATGCTGCTGGAGTATGGTTTGAGTTTTGATTATGGCTTGTGAAATCCGAAAAAAATGTAAATATAACTTTCAATCTATCCTTGTAAACCTAAAGATTTTATAAAAATAAATAAGGTTTTTTAGCCAATCCAACGCCTCGCTAACCACAACGGGACCCTGCAATTTGTCAGCAGCTCTTCCTCCCCAAATTTAATAATCTTTTATGTCATGCTCGGTATGGCTTATTTCATAAAATAAAATATTTATTACAAGTTACCTTATTTTCAGATATTAGTCTTTAGGGCTAGTCACAACCCGTGAGAACACGGGATTGGCCGGTGTGAGAATTGAGGCTAGGAGAGTACAAACAATTAGGGAGTCTGACCGAAAATGCAAATTCAAAGAAAATTAAGGGACGGATTTTAAAGCATAGATCAGCGAAGAGATAATTTTCGAAGCTGATTCGTGACCGGGGTCAGCGAATCTGCGCTGAACAATTTGAATTCGTACTCGACACCCAGGGATTTTCGGGCGCCTAGGGGTGTTTTGTGTGGTGCCAACGAATTCTTGGTCTCTTCTTTTGGCTTGGAGACGGAGAATGTTGGGGTGATCGGGCGTTTTTCGAGGTCGGGCGCTGGAAATACTATATTTAACTTTGTAATAATGTTCAAAGTGAAATACCGCACCCTAGCTATGCTTTACAAGCCAAAAAAACTTTTGAAACACTCACCGGAAGCTGAATTCTTCTTGAGCTCATGCTCGCTCGGCTCGTAGAGACTCTGGCGGGAGCCATCTGTAGAAAAAGGGGTTATTATTGCTTCCTGGATACTCTGTGCCCAGTCTACCGTAACCGGAGGGCTAATCCCTCAACATCACTATCAAAGGGTTTAGTTCAGCGACTACAACATTGCGTAAAAAGTACAGAAATGTACTCACAAGGGCTGGGGGAACGGATTCGATCTTGATCCTGTTCGTTGAGCGAATTTGTTGACGAGATTGTCAGTCTAAAACACATTATATGAAAAATATATTAAACCGAGTTAGTGTAAAATAATAAGTTTACAAAATTAATATAATTAACATACCTTGGGGAGCATACAGATTTAGACCGTCTAGGTTCAAGGCAGACTGGTGAGGAGCTGCGATTCATAAGGCCATCCAGGGATAGTTCGAATAACATTTTGATCTACAATTCTTTATTCAATGCTTAAATATATGGTAAAGTCAAAATCATAGAAAACTGGCTACAGTAACCCCCAAGACACCTATACCCAAAACCCAAATCCAGGAAATTGGACCGGAAGCAGACCCCAAAAGTCTTGAGGACAAAATCTGAGGAGAAGGCCGAGGGGTCCAGCGTGCCTTTTAACCAATTTATAAGCCACGCCCCGGTACCGATGGCCCGGGGCGATATCCACGAAAAAGTTAATCCAGCCTCCATTCCCCCTCCAGGGGGATCCCCGGATTTTGGGGCCAAATAACCGGATGAAAATTCGTTGAGAAGACCGTGGAGATGGATACGGTAGGTTTTGGAGATGAGGAAATGGCTGTGGAAATGCCAAAAAAAGTATTTGCAATGGGACAATTACCCCTGATTGTTTGGCCTTTTGTCTACGTGCCCTTATTCTTTAATTTTTCCATTTCATCGAAACGGTCTTTGAAATATATAGAAATTAAAAGCAGCGCAAAACATATAACTCAATTTCAATATAAAAATTAGCAGGGAGAGTGAGAGATATGGAGAGCGAGTGAGCGAGAGAGATAGAAAGATAGAGAGAGAGGGAGGGAGAGAAAGATAGAGAGAGCGAGAGAAAGAGAGAGAGAGAGAGAGAGAGAGAGAGAGAGAGAGAGAACGCGAGAGTTATGATGCGGATGCAAATCCGAAATTTAAAAAACGCGGAACAGAATGCAAATCAGAGACCAGAATTTTATATAGAGAAAAAATTTTCGGGACCGCCCTTGGATTCTATAAAATTAACATGTCCTCCCCATTTCTGATTTTTTTGCATCAAAATCTCATTCCATGGTGAAGCTGATCCTCTTTTTATCGGAAAGCATAAAATCCGTTTCCGGAAGCTTAGAATCATCCCTTGACGCAAAGCGCATCTGCCCAGATTTTCTCAAGCTACACCCCACGCAAAATATTTTGGAGAACACGCTAGCGGTACGGTTTTGTCATCCGATGCTGACAGCATGGAAAGCCCATGGTGGATCAACGGATTGGCTGCGGACCTGTAAATAGATCTGTAAGCCTATCCTAGACCGGATATCCGCATCAGAAATACCAGCGCCCCAGCCGGGGTCTCCCTAAAAATGGATCAGTACTGTAGGCTGATAGAAATATTTTTTTAGCTTGAAGGAACTGTGAAAGTAATTATGAACCGCGCGAGCTATGAATCTATTATGTAGAGTCATCAACTAGGAAATTGAAAGATACAAAACGAATATGTTATGTTTTGGTTTCGAGGCCTCAACAGGTGGTTATCAAAAATTCAGATCCTGTTTTGTGCTTTTATACGCAAATTTCGAAAGTGGACGTATTTTCCGAATTCTATTAATAAATGTAATTTTCTGGCTTTGCCTGTTTTTTTATGTTATGTTTAAGGGTTGAGAAAACGACAATATTTTTCTACAGCGACAGCTAGAAACAAACATTATATTCAGAGGTATGTCGCCACTTTTTTCCGATTTGAAAATTTTTCGAGTATCCCCGCAAAGAATTTTTATTTTATCCCCAAGCCCCGATTTGCAAGAAATTCCAAATCAAGGGTCATCCTCCCCTTTTACTGTCCCAATAATCATCCTATCATCATCAATCCACTATAACCTATCCCGCAGACACAGTAAGCCCTCGATAAATCACGAAAAGTGCGATGGAGTGATCGTTAAATTAAAGCACAAAGAGTATGCAGACAATGAGAATCGTTCGTGATGACAAAATTTTTACAACGCCTTTTCGAATTTTTCAGCTGCCTGGAAGTGGCCAATTCTGAGCGGTAACTGACCAACACCTGGTGCCCCCAAATCCCCAAATTTAGGCATCACCAAAGTAATCCTCCAATACTAGAGAACAATCGTCAGAAACCCTTTTTCTACAGGGGTCCTGCAGGGAAGGACGAATCTACGCAACCGTTTTTGGGGTCTCATCCGTACTCTTTGGCGCGTCAAAAGTTGGGGGTTAGCTTTTTCGGGGGTTTGGGGATTATCCGGTTGGCCCTCTCCGCCAGGGTTTTCCACACGTGAGAGCCGAGATTTACGCGCGGATAAACAGAACATTTTCCACGGGAGTGATATTGCCTGAAATTAACTCGTCACGGTTTTGGTGATAATAAACAAACGTGGTGTTGGGGTATGGTAACGAGGTTCTAGGCTTTTTTTTCAGGTGCTTGAAAATTTTTTAGAATGCTATGGAAGACTCGAGATTACTGTAGAAAACTCTACAACCCCGTAGAACACTTAAATTATCTTTAAAGTAGTATAACACCATTTGAGAATGGTGTAAAATTGAGAAACATAGTGTAAAACCTTTTATTATTGCCAAGCATCGCGCAATTGCCGAAAATATATCTCGTTCTCTGCTCAATCGGAAAGCTCATCCTCTCCCCAAAAGAATTCCGCACCGGTGTCACCTAAATCCTACTATATATAAAAAAATAGTTTCTGTGTGTGTGTGTGTGCATTTGCATGCAACTTCCGTCAGCGTGTTCCAGTAGTAACTCGATAGGGGAAAGTTTTTAAGATAAATTTGATACGTCATTAGGTGCGTAATGTTTCCGAGATGACTGCACACGTATAATATTTTGCAAATTATCTTATTTTGAACATTAAAATTGGTTTTTTTGTTTAAAAAACGGGCGCCCTCTTTGGTAGAAAAAAATTAGCATGCACCGGAATTGGCCATAGCCTATATAATCCGAGAGAGGGAGCGTTTTTCATTATTTCTCATGACAAATTCGGGCGAATTATGCAAAGCAAAGAATTTCATGGGCTTATGTGTCGGCTGAAAAGTCGCGAAGCGGCTTTTCAACCCTGGTAAATATACTAGAAAACTGGCGCTCACATACTCGAGTACCACTCCTCTTCAGAAAACTTTTAACAACAGAGCGTAATGTCGGCTCGGCAAGCAATGTCAACCACATTTGTACAAATATCTAAGTTAGGTAATTTGGCGAATTTAGACATTATAAACTAACCTGCGCTTGAAAAATAAAAAACAAGAAAAAGGCGTTAATATACTGTCCTTCCGGTGGTGCCCCATCGATCATCACATTATACCAAATAACCACGAACGAACTTGTAACGCATTTGTAGGGGGATAAATAGAGGAATAATATTGAGGTTTTGTAGTTCGACATTGTTTGATAGCTAAAAATTACGCATAACAATAAATTTGTGGCATCTACTACCGCTTCTCCACCGTCACATAACGAGTCTTCAGCACCATTTGATATTTTCTTTTACATACAAAATATAGTCGCACGAAAAACTGAAAGCTAAGTTGTGCTATTTTTTTTATGATTTACAGTACCACGACCCCAATTACATAAGTTGCATACATAAAGAGAAAGCCGTAAGATCCGGGGAGTACATCAAGGTAGTATAATCCATGATTTGCTAAAATACCCGTAACCTAAAATGAGTTAAAATGAGTCACTTTTGCTAGTAATTACTTACTGATGCGAAAATAAAAGATAACCCTAAATTATTAGTTTTAAACTGGCGTTCATAGGTGTCAACGTAGTGCATAGCTACCATCCGCTCAAAGGCGTAGTAGGCGGTGATCAACAGTGATCCGCCGCCGGCTAAAATGTGCTCAAATGACGGTAACAACTTACCGATTTCACTGGAAAATGTAAGGAGGTAAAATAAGGAATCATTGCATAGGTTTGAGAATATTAAAAGGTGTCTGGTGACTCGGAAACCGGTGCCGAGGAGCATTAAATAGGTTTGGCCCAGGATAAGGGCTAGTAGGTTTGGGTGGCAGAACTGAAAAACAGAATTTTGAACCTATTTCCTATGTATCATATTTATCCGGTTTCTAATCCAAAAATCCTCTTAACGCGATTAGAAACTTAAAGCCTCAAGCATAAATATTATCGTCAGCTCTTCCACTGACTCATTTTGTTATACAGATCGTAAGAAATTAATGACCGTCTAAACCCTTCCGGACCATCGTTCCCATACCTGCTTCCTCGTCAACAAGCGTGTGTAGAAAAAAATAAAAATCGAGAGTGCAAGAAAGACGAGCGTTTCGATGATCTATATATTTTAAAAATGAAAAGTTAGGCCTCAGGTTATA